CAGCTCTTAACTCATGAATCCTTCATTGTTTTTTTTTCTCTCCTCTGTCCAGTTGCAGATGGGAGCAGCTGTAGTGAGTACCTAGCATCCAGCCAGGGTCAAACCACTACACCTGTATAAAATTGTGCAGATCCTTTCGTACATTTATTATCTTACCTTTGTAAATCCGGAGTCCTATTTCAGGTTGTTATAAGTCAATCTCCCCTCTCCATGTTAACAGCAGCGTTTCATGTATGGAAGTACTATTGTGGAATTTTATTAGTCAGGTTCTTTTATTAGTTAGCATTCAGTCCAGTGAAAATTAACAGTAGTGCTATGTGGTGCTGCTAGTATATATTCTTCCAATCTACCACGAAAAATAATGCATGCTGAATAACCCCTTGCCAGAAAGAAGGGCAAACACTAAGCACAAACATCTTGTGGCAAGAATGTCACAGAGGCAACAAAATGGAGCAGCTGGTTGGCATTTGGTAACCACATAATTTGGATCAACAAATCCTATGGTGTGCTGTTTCCTTTGTTGATAAACCCATATTTTTCAGCAATGACTCCCTCTGAATTGCTTCAAAAGCTGTATTAAGACTATTATGCTTTTTTTTAAAGAAGTCATAAGGGAAGGCTTTTGTCCAGTTTTCTTAGAAAATAATTGTTTTCTTAGACTGAGACATTAGCACAGTTGTCAGCAGTTAAAGATCTGTAAAAAAAAAAAAGTAAAAAATATAGCACCTAACTTTTTCTAATAACAGAAGAAATAACGGGGTGTGTTTCATAGTTATGAAGTATATTACAGGGACTAAATAAATTCTTTATGTGATACTGTTAAAAAGCCAAGACATCCATAATTTAAGATAATGTATTCTTTACTAGGTGTCAAAGCTGTTTGGTATTTTGTATTTAAAACCCATCTTGCAAAGTAATCTACAGTTAGTTTACTTAAGCAAACAAGATGCAGGGTGACATCTCAAGTGCTTTGTATCCTGATGACCTTAGAAACTGTTGAGATCAAAGAAAGATATCCTTAGACTAATTTAGGAGTGACTGTGACTCTTCTACAGCCTAAAGGAGTTTGGACAACTGAGCTTGTGAAGGAAGTTGTTCATCTTGATGCCTTAAGCCCCTATTAGTTTTTTATTTTTCTAATTTTTGTAAGCTTTATAAGTTTTATAAGTAGTAGAAGTAGATTTTAAAAGCAGCAGCCCTCGTTCCCTTACCCTGTAGTACAAGTAGTTTACACATTCCTTAACCCTCTTACCCCATTCCATGCACCCTATATCAATCCTACCCCCGAATCCAGTAGAATGTTTAGTCTCTTGTCAAGGCAAGGCCTATACTGTTTAGAGAACACCCATATCTAGGCCTGAACAAGAACTAGCTGACCGTGTACCCTTTGTGCTCTGAAGATGATGAGAATGATGAAGTAAGTGGTCCCAAAGGCCCCCAGACCCAATTCTCAGGGGGTGGACCTGAGGCAGACCAGAGCAAAGGTTACAGGGTGGACACACGTGGGATTGGACAGATATTATTATAATATGTAACATCTCAGGCACAGTGGGCGCGCGTCTTGTAACATCTATTGCCTTGGCACAATTAAACCCTTTCCTTATCTCACTCTCAATTAACTGCTCCTGAGTTATTTTTTTAGCATCAACATTTTAAGGCATCAATCTTGAAGTAACATGACAGGTATAGTTAAATAAACTGCAAATGTATTTGCAAATGTTACATTCATGATTCCTAGTAATCACTTGCTCTTTTCAAACAGCTGCATAGAACTAGATCTACCTTAAGTTTTCCCTCAAAAAATTGCTGAGATTTTAAAATTGCTACTGCAAAAATATAAATAGTAAAAATAACTTAGTTCTCTACTGCAGTCTGAGTTGAATTGTAAAGCGGTGACTTACTGAGAATAAACTTATGCCTTTCATAGATCAGATTAATATTCTATTAGCTGTGTAGGAGGGAAAAACTCTCACCACCAGGCTCTTCTGTGTGCTCTGCAATGGCCTTCATTGCGTTTCATCCAAAGGCTTCATAAGTTTTACAAACATTGATAAATATTAAACTTTTTAAGATAGTTATAATTCAGTCAATTAATATGCAAATGCTACTCTAAGCCTGCAGCATACTGACTTTGTTTTGACAGAGAACAAAAATATTCTCCTTTTAAAAAGGCTAGGCACACTCCCATCCTTATAGGTAGGTACACTACTGCATATGCGATGATGAGAAATCCTTTAACCATTACTAATCAATAATAGGGAAGCAAAAGATTGTAATTAATTCTTTATTAAGCATTTTTATTAATAAGTATTGTTATTTGGGGCATGCATAATAACACTGCAACAATTATATCTATCATAGCATTACAAAAAAACTATCTGAAACCTTGCATTTTTGCATTCTGTGAGCAGTGTTTACTGCTTCTGCAGTCTTACTTGGGATTCAAACCAATTCTCCCTGGTAAGTCAGGCTGATAAAACAATCCACCTTGAAAAATGACCAGGCAAGATTTTGGCACAAACTGCTGTAAGCTACATTACACCAGGGGATGTCACCAGTGAAGACACAATACCAAAATTTCTGCTGCAATTTGAATTATACCTGGAAAAGAATTAGAGTAATTCACCATCCAGCAATTATTTGGAAACAAGACAGTAAATAACACTGATGTAATTATTGTTTATAATCTTATTTGTTGTTATTACTGGAGAAAGATATATGGATATGTTCTTTGCCTATACAGAACCAGTCATGCTTATAGTAAACAGCATCATTTAAAACCAGAAACCTGTTGAAATGCCAATGCATAGAATAAAGACGGTCAATTGTCTGGGACAAACCATGCTAGATGACTGATTTGTGACAGTCCAAGATGCTGCCATTCTTTGCTATAATTCTGCCCATTTATTTGGTAAATGCCACAGCAGCAGAATGGAGTGTGTGCTTAAGTGTTAGCTATTCCATTTTCAGCTAAACACCAGACTTCCCACCAAAACACATATATGCGGGCACCAGCATGTGTCTGCCAACACTGCTGCAACAATGGCAACATGTAGCAGAGAAGGGATGAACAGCATGAAGCAGTTATCACTGCAGCAATTCTTCCCGTGGACTGGCATCCCTGTGAGTACGAGACTATACCTTTGGAAAGGCAAGTGCTGCAAAACATGTAAGAGGTAACAACCTTTGCATTTTCCGCAATGTGTAAGATAAGGACAAAGTTTCACCTCTTGCATTGGAACTGCACTGGTAGAAGCTCAGACCAGCAGCTGCCAGACTGACATCTAATGCATAAGTGAATTCTAATGCATAACTGCATCAGAATCTAATGTATAAACTCATTATCCTGAGACATTATATAAGCCATTCATAACTCTTTCTTTGCACAGACTAAAAGCTGTAGAAAACATGAGAAGAACATATATGCATATTTACTGAAGAGGAAAAGATGATTTTGTACCACCAAGCCACAATTCTTTCTAAATGCATGAAGTATATTTCTAGTCTTGCCTGTAGTATAAAAATGGTGTTTGGTAATACAAATTCAAATGAAAACTAAGAAGGAATGCACAATGGAGTTAACTAACATGGGCATCCTGCACTCCCTGAAATTTAAGTCAAATTATTTCTGAATAATTTTATTTTTGAATACTACTTCTACTGAAGTAGGACCCCTTAAGGATGAAAACCTATTTATGTAGATAACTAGTATAAGACTGACAGGGCAATATGAGCATTCTGAACTGCTGTCATTGGACTGACTGATGAATAATTCAACTTCCTCTACTTTCAATGCAGAGAGCTCCTCTTCAATGGGGTATTAAGTAAATTTTCTTATTCACAGTATGTACTTCACAGAACACAAGGAAACATAATTTTTACTAGAGAGAAAAACTTATAAAAGGACAAGAATGTAAATATTTCCATCTTTTCCACCTGTACGTCTCAATATTGCATGTGTATTAATATAAATTTAAGCCTTTAAACAGAAACACAGTAGCGTATCACAAGGGATCTAAAACCCTTCCCCAGTTTCAGAATCAGGGCGGTATGGACAGGCATTACCAAACAATGCTGCATTTGAAACAGCAGATCATGGTGAAAATCTGTCTCCTGGCTCAAAATCATTGATACAGTTAATTCTCTTAAATTTTATCCTTTTTCAATCCTTTTATCAAAAGCAACCTTCCCCTCCAAAATACAGTTTTATTTGCAAGAGTAAACATACATAAAGTTCTCATTAGTTAAAAACCTGCTATAACTTAGAAATGTTATTCTTCATGCTCTTAAAGCCCTTGCACATGCAGCAGAAAATGAATGCTACAACTGGGTCACATCACATAAAAATAATTTTGGAAAAGTATTTTTCATTGCAAAACATGTCAATTCTGTAAACAACAGAGTACAACTTCATTTCTCTATTAGACCTTATCTTAAGCAGAGGCAAGAGGCAGTAAGAATTAGCAAATGACAGGAGAAGATGAAGAAGTATAAACTCCGTGATTGACAGCTTGACTTTAAACATGAAGAATACAGAATCACGGAATAATTTTTCTGGCTGGATGAGACCTCAGAAGTTACAGTCCAATCTCCTTCTCAGAGCAGAGTTAACACTAGACTGCGACCAGGCAAAAAAGGTTTAAACCAAAATGCACCTTCCCTATTAAAGCAATTGAACTGGGTATATAGTTATGTGATGACAGTAAAATGAATACTTTTTAACTACGTGCATATTCAACAAGAAAAATTGAGCATCTGGGTAGCTAAACATACATAGTGTACATACCTAACCTCTTCTTGCAGTCATGTACACTTAATGAGAAAACTTCTTCAAATTAAACAATGCCTATTCTATGGGAGAGTTTTATACAAGAGTCTAGCTCTTCTAAGCACAGGCTGCATTGGTCACTGTGCAAAATTCCAGAACTCTGAAAGATATTACATATTTTCACCTAATACTGTGGCAAAACCATATAATCATCAGAAGCAAGAAACAAGTGTGAAAATTCATACATCAAGTTCTCATTTTTAATTTAGTAATTATTGAATGGTTTCAGAGCAGGCATTACATTGCTTCAAACACAATCAAGTATCTTTGAAATAATGTTGAAAAATAACCTCTTCACCTCAGTATACACACGCCCATATACACACACATACACAAATTAATTTATAAAATCTGTACATATGTATTTTTTAGGAAGCAACTCAAAGAACCATACCACAAAAAATTACCTTCTGTACTCTGACACACCATAAATTATAATCCATTTTTCTTAAGATAGGGTTTAAGGACACAAAATGCCATGCAGTACTATTTAGTAAAAAATGAACTAGTAAATAAATTTATCTATTCAGTGCTAAAAGAAAACACAGAATTCCTTAAATAAATCAAATGGAAATTTGTCAGAAATATTTATTATCCTTGAGCTAGGCAGGCCTCAGTTATTTGCATAAACTGAAGCTTTATCCCCTTTGTAGAAAACATCAAGGAAGTGTGTGAGTATGGAAATCCAGGATACTTTATTTCCTATTACTGGAGGCAAAGCTGGTTCAAGAAAGGAGTATCCTTGTTGAATCTGAGTCTGAAAGTCCATCATCTTGATTAGTTGCCTCATAATCACCCACATTATCAGCTAATTCAACATCTTGATCGTCATTGCTCTCTGCGCTGTAATCAACTTCTTCAAGGAAGCGAGGCTCATCTTCATCCAAAATGTACGTAGTGGGGCTATAATGAACAAGAAGTTCCATGAATCATGTTGAAAGTTTTACTTGGATTAATGCATTCAGACTATGCCCTGTGCCTTTCCTGACATACGGTAATACAAAAATTATCTCAGAAAAGCAGCAGTTTACCTGAAATAGTATTGATTTTTTAATTGTGTGCAAAACAACTGGGAGCCAAAGCCATGTTTATAAGACCTTGAATTAATTAATCAGTCATATACAACTTGTTATTCAAATGTGCTATGACAAATTAGCTACACTAATGTCCAGTAAGAACTTGATGTAAATACAGCACTATCAGAAATTGCTGCAGAAGAATACAACTACATAAAGACCCAGCCATTGCTATAGAATATATAGCAAACTTAAAAACAGTCTAAAAATTCAATTGTGAAACCTCTGTATTAAAACACACATTTTACTGAAAAGTATTGTGAGCAATTACTTTATAAATATCAGAGATGACAAACCAAGGAGTCATGGTTATAACTAATGTTAAGTTCCCACATGAATCCCTTAACTCATATCAGGTTCTCACATATTTGCATGCAGGTAAAACTTAAAATTTGTTAAACCTTGCAAATCTGAGGCAATGAACTAAGGAACTGAGCTACCACCTACAGAATGGTCTACCGCCTTAACTAATAGCCTACAAGAATAAGAGGATTAACACCTTTAGTGTTAACTGGAAAAAGGTTAAAATACAACTTCCGATGCTCTCACCTGCCTAGAACAGAAGTGGGGAAAAAGAAAAAGGGAAAAAAGTGTTTTCCAGACTCAGTTTTACTAACCTCACTTAGGACATAAAAAGCTATCTGCTTAAAAGCACTAAATATTGATAAAGTATTCCTAAATATTTCGTAAGTATTTTTGTATTCAGATTAAGCCCTAAGAAGGTTTTGTAATGCATTTTACCTAATAATCAAATCATACAGAACTCATACAACAGTGAGGATGTTCTTACTGAAAAACATCACACAGAACTTGTAGAAACATTTGCATATTACTTTTGATGAATTTTCTCTTAAGGCATACAAAAACCTAGCGTGCCTGTGGCTTTATAATTAAAAGACTAATCACTGCTTCTTTCTAAACCTTAAGGAGTTTAAATGCACCACCTGAAATCTGCAATGCAATCTCTGTTGAATATAAATATATTTCACAGTATTCGTCCTCTATCTGTAGCCTCAATGACATGCACACTGTAATGTTTTGTGCTGTTGATAGTTAATTCAAATATCAGGACAAAAATTGTTCCCTATCTTAGAGGAAAAAAAAATTATGTTCAAAACAATCTGTATCATGGTTCACTAAATAAGCCTGTACTCAATAAGCCATGCAAAAAGGAAAGCTCCACAAAACTAAATACTTTACAGGTTATTTAAGGTGTAACTAGGGCAACAACCCATTATGCTGGTTAACAAACTGGCTGTTTAAAATAAAATTATTTCCATCTAGAAGAGACAAAGAATGAAGAAAATAATCAGAATCTTTGCTAAGTCTCTTTAATTTCACAGATGGGGAACCCAACACACACTAAGGGTACATGCTTTGCATGAGGAATGTGTGGTAGAATCAGCAAACGAATAAAATTTTTCTGTGCTTTTGTCCTGTGATACTTTCTGCCCTACAAAGTCACTACCTACCAACACTTTCTTTAAGGAAAAAAGAAGCTGGGGAAATAAAAAGTTTAAATGTTTCATTTGTTTAAAGAAACAAATGATAAGAACTTCACCAGATGTATTACAGTCTGACAAGTCCACAGCTTTTTTGCAATTTCTGCTTCTAATCCCTTAACACAGATATTGATTCATTAGCTTTTGTATGCAAGGAATTCCCACTGCAGTTGGAGAATAGATTGTGTAATTCAATTGACAGGAAATGGAGCATTTAAATATGAAAGTTGGACCAATATTAGGTAATAATTCTGAACACTGAAACAGAAAACTACAGTGAGCTATGAGAAGGACGAATACTTTACTAACCACTGACAACGGGACATTTAATGCATTACTGTCATCACTTCTAAAAATTCATGGTAGTGAGGTATAATATAGGATATAAAGCTCTTAAAAATTCTATCCACTCTTTTTAATAAATGTCATTATTTGGATATTAAAGTAACATAGTTGATCCAGTTAAAAGAAAGCAACCAACAAAGCCTACCTTAAGGAAAAAAACACAGAACTGGATGCAGAAGCAAACCACATAGTTCATCTCTTCAGTGTCCTGTCAGTTCATATAATATGTCCTATGTAATATCGTCTTGAAAAACACACAGGTATATTTATTCAATACACTTTTTTTATAGTTGTATAAATTGATTTTACATACTTATGCATGTGTAAGCATGTAGGCATGCCCCTAACTTCTAGAAATTCAGAGAACTGAGAACAGTTTATAACTGAGAACAGTTACAAAGTCAGCATGTCTGCTGTAACACACTTTAGACATTCGCTCTGGCACATGTACATCCAAAACTGAGAGATGCTTTTCATTGTCATTTTACATTTAATAAAATAAAAATCATTATTATAGTTTATTTTCCTTCTTGAAGAAAAGTAGCATTAGAACAGATCAAAGATTAGAACAGATACTATTTAGAAAGCTAAATAAACCTTTAAAATAAAAACTGGCTCTGAAGTCTGCTTCATAATAATCCTACCTTTCTACTACCATATAGAGGAATACACCATGACTTCTCAATCATTTTTTACAGAAAATAAATGTTACCATAATATTCATTACGATTATTTTTCCACTGTCCCTTTCTTGAATTTTCATTCCTCACAAAATTGTATCCAAGTACTTTCTACATGAAGGAAAAACCTGTGTCACATATCACTCATGTATGTTTGCTTTCCTATGACGCATTTTCTTCTGATGTAGCAAATGTTAACCTTACATATTTAACTTTTCAGCAATCTGTATTCTAACAGTTAGTATAAATCTGCAAAGTGTAATTATTACTCTGCTATTTTACTGAGGCTGGGTCACCAGAAATGCAGCAATCAAAACACCTGAAAAAATTTCTTGCTGTTTAATCAAATTCTTTATCTGCTCCCCTGCTGTTCCACATCCTCACCATATCTTGTTACAATATATTTTTAGCTGCTGTCATGCTGATTCTATGGGTTTTAATTTCCTAACCCTTCCCTTGGGGTCCTTCTAATTAACTTGCTCAATAATCCCTCTTCCTCTACCACTACACATCCCACTTTTCCTTTTAAAATGAAACTATTATTTTTCTCAGGTTAGCAGAGGTTGTTTATCCTATAACTATAGTACTGTAATGTAAGGGATGCCACAATCTCTGTATTTTCTTTGAAGTCATGGCTGTTAAAAGAGAATACTATATGAAATTCTGAAGTTCTGCATATCTTAACTAAACAACATTTTATGGGTAAAAAGGTGATCTCCTAAATACCTGACTAATATATCAGATATCATACTACGGTCTTCATGCTGATGAATAACTTTAAGAATACCCCTTCCATTTAAGAGTATTTTCTCTATCACCTGCCATTGAATACACCAAGAATTAATACAATTGTTTTCTAAAATGTATTTTAATTATTAATTAAAACGTAGTTTAGTTATTAAGGTCAGTGAGGGACACAGAAACAGCAGTGACAGGGGTAACAGCAGCAGCAGCTGTAATAAGTTCTGGAGGCTGAGTGCTAGAACAAGCTGGGCAGGGCATTCCTGCAGTCAGGGAAATGTGATTAAGAGCTGAGAGACCCAAGAGGAACTGTCAGCTCTCAAGAGGCTGATGTGGCATGAGTGTTGCCAGCAGAGAGTGGCAGAAGTCAGTGCTGCAGCAGTCAGAGCATGGTACAGCAGTTCTCAAGGAAGGGTACGTCAGAAGGGCCACTTAATCCTATTCAGGAAGGAAGAGGAAGGAGCCTTCTTCTGTAACAGAAATGGCACCTACATGTCACAGCTGCCAGGCTGGGGATGAAACCCAGGGAGACCACAGCCACCTTGGTACAAGTCTAGATCCAAACAGACTTGAAGACCAAAAGACCCTCAGCTGCAGGGAACTCCAGAATCTGAAAGTTCCCCTCGCACCTGAAGGCAGAGGTGGGTATCATGGGTGCGAGTGTGCCCAGATAGATCACGTGCTTTTGAGCAGGTTGACGTGCTGTGTGAGGAGCTCAACAGGCAGCATACTATCTGGGAATCCAATGACACAGACAGTGAGACCAAGTGCACCCTCAGCAAGTTTGCAGATGATACAAATCTGAGCAGTGCAGTTGACACAACAGAAGGATGGGATGCCACCTAGAGGGACCCAGAAAGCTTGAGAATTGGGCCCATGAGAACCTCATGAAGTCTAACAAGTCCAAGTGCAAGATGCTGCACCGGGGACAGGTGAGGCACTGGAACAGGTTGACCAGAGAAGCTGTGAATGCCTCATCCCTGGAAGTGTTCAAGGCCGGGCTGGATGAGACTTTGAGCAACCTGATCTAGTGGGTTGCATCCCTGTCCATGGCAGGGGGGTTGGAACTAGATGATTTTTGATGTCCCTTCCAATTCAAACCATTCTATGACTCTATGATTTTTTAAATTACAATACCCTCCTACGTGTTTTCTTATTTACATTAATGCTCCAAACATACTAAAATTTAATAAACGTGTTCACTGACATGGTATAATTTTTCAAAGTAAAATTTTAATTGTCCCTTAAAAGATATAGTTGGATTTTTCATTATCCATATGACTCAATTACAGAGAAATTAATCCACAAGGAAGACACAATCATTACCAACTTCAATCCCCATGCAGTCCAGAAGTTTTCTGAAACTACAGGGGATGTGTCTACATTATAAAACTTTGGAATAAAAGATTAAGAAATATTCCCTATCAAAGTACGGAGAGTTGCAGCTACCTGGGGAGTTGAGAAAGGAAGGAGAGAAAAATCTGAAGAACAAATGATTCCTTTTAAAACTATATTGTCGGGGAGAAAAAAATCTTAGATGAGAAAGAGAGTTATGAAGT